CACAAAGACCCTTCAAATTATTAAAAAATATCATTTTGACCCTCTAAACTATAAAATCGTAGAAATAGACCCCCTAAACTATTAAGAAGTATCACTTTGACCCACTAAATTATAAAAGCATGCAAATGAATCTCCTAAACTATTAGCATGTTTCACTTTGGCCACTTCCAATATTACACCGTGAGTTAAACCAAATTTTTAAACATTTTTTAGACAAAAATATCGTTCAGCACTTTATATATTTACAATTTCATTACTATTGTTTTTTTATTTTTTGTAATTATAAGCATTCATCCATTATTATTATTTTTTCTCATTTTTTAAATATTCTACTAAATATATTTTTACATAAAGAATATTTTGAAAAAAAACAATAATAAAACAAAAAATAAATGAGGAAAATTGAGAAGAAATGGTGTTGGGTGTGTTATGTAGAGTATTGAAGGGTATTTTCGTCTCAAAAATTTCAACGCAATAATGAAAGGGGTCAATGTGAAGCATGTCAATAGTTTAGGGGATTCATTTATATGCTTTTATATTTTATGAGATCAAAGTGAAACTTCTCAATAATTTAGAGGCCCATATGTAAATAACCCTTTTCGAAACATTTTTCCTCCACCCACTTTCTTGGGATCTCATTTGAAGTTGTAAATTTTTTTCCAAAAAAAAAAATTTTTGATAATTTATGCATCCCTTAGATCTTGAATTTTTCAAATATAAGGGAAATGAAATTAATTACACATATTTTTTTTCCTTGGTAACTAAGAAAAAATTGTGTTTTGTTTTTTATTATATTTATTAATTCGTTTACTTAAACCTGCCAACCACATAACAGAAAAATAAATAAATCCTTTCACTTAATTTTCTTTTTTTATTTTTTTATTTCCTTTCAGATACAGAATACTTTTCACCCTCAAACTATCATTTTGGTCCATCATCCTTTAATTACAATAATTAAATCCTCAAATTTTAAATTGTATTTTAATGTGATCCTTTGTCATGTATTTTAATGTGATCCTTCGTCACCCAACAAATTTAAAATTTGAGGGGTATTTTGGAAAATAAGTTAGAAGTTAATTTTTTAGCTTTTTAAATATATATATATATATATATATAAGTAAATAGGTGATGCGACTAAAAAATATCAAAAAAAATTAAAAAGCTGACTTTTAACCAACTAACCAAAATAGGCCATTAAAATTTCAAACATAAGAGATTATAATAGAATTTGGAGTGAAAATTGAAGAGTAAAATGTACAATTTGTTCTACAAACTTTTCCCTGTAAGTGATGCGAGGACCACAGTAAAATAAGAGTTAAAGTTTAAAATTTTAATTGTTATAATTAAAAAATGAGGATCAAAGTGAAATTTAGGTAAAAAGTTTGAAAAACCGAAGGAGTCATTTGTTAACGTTTTTGTTTTTTGTTTTCTATTTTCTTTTTTTTCTTTTTTCTTTTTTTGAAAGCTCAAAACGAAAACTTGTTTGATATATTGTTTTCATTTTAAAAAAAAAAGAAATTGATTTCAAAGTTTTCGAAATTTTTGTAAACGCACAAAAAAATTGCTTTCACTTGTTTTTAAAACAAGTTTTCACTTTCTCCTAAAAAGCCCAAAACTTATCACGGCATATGTCGTGTCTACTTTGGCTAAAAGAACTAAAATTCAATTTTATCAACTATATCTGATATCTTTACCCAGTAACTAGTCGAAATCCTTTCTACATGGTAAAAAAAAAATATCATAGAAGGGATATGATTCTATCATCGACAAAATTGATAGCCACTTATTTTGTCATAATATATTGGAAACTCTTCTCCACTACTCAGAACTAGCAATCTACTATGATGGGAAGGGAGTTGTGGTTGTAAGAAGCGAGAGAGTCTTCATTGAACCCTCTAAGGTTAGAGAAGACAAAGCAAAAGAAATACTCAACAAGCTCCAAGAATAGATAAGTGAAGCACCCACTACAAGAAAAAATACTTTTGGCGACCACCTTCTTTTTTTGGTCGCAAATAGTCCACTTTCTGCGACCAAAATTTAACTTTTGGCGACCACAATTTTTTGGTCGTGGAAGATCACCTTTTGGCGACCAAAAAAAAAGTTGGTAGCGAAAAGTATACCCATTGGCGACCAAAGGCTTTTTTGGTCGCGGAAGATCACCTTTTGGCGACCAAAAAAAAAAAGTTGGTCATAGAAAGTATATCCTTTGGCGACCAAAAAAAGAGTTGGTCACGGAAAGTATACTATTGGCGACCAAAGGCTTTTTTTGGTCGCGGAAGATTACCCTTTGGCGACCAAAAAAAAAAGTTGGTCGCGGAAAGTATACTATTGAAGACCAAAGGCTTTTTTGGTCTCAGAAGATCACCTTTTGGCGACCAAAAAAAAAAAAGTTGATCGCGGAAAGTATACTATTGGCGACCAAAGGCTTTTTTGGTCGCGGAAGGTTACCCTTTGGCGACCAAAAAAAAAAGTTGGTCGCGGAATGTTATGGCGGGATAAATTTAAAAAAAAAAATGATACTACTATAATTACATGCTATTTTTCTGTTTAGGCATTAAAAGTTTTATAAAATAATATATAACCGAATTTTTATGAGTTATATATATTTTTTGCGAAATATGAACAAGAAGCATGATAATAGCAGAGTGGATTGGGTGCATGGTGACTCCTTGGTCAGGAGTTCAAGTCCCAGGCAGCACAAAAGAATTATTTTTTTTGGGTCAAGGCGTTGACTTTTGGCGACCAACTTATCTTTGGTCGCTAAAAGTTTACTTTTGGCTAATATGAATTGGACTTTCCGCGACCAAAAAAGTTGGTCGCGAATGGTCACTTTTAGCGACCAAAGGCTTTTTTGGTCGCAGAAAACTATCTGTGACGAGGCTTTAGCGACCAACTCGTGACCAACATATTTTGGTCGCGAAAAGGTTTTAGCAACCAAATATGATACTTTTCGCGACCAAAATGTTGGTCACGGAAAGTGTTTTTTCTTGTAGTGACCAAACATGTCTACATCTGTTTGGGAGCTCTGCAAAATTAAGATAAGAGCCCAAATTCACTATGAATCAATGTAAGACATGCACCTCTGCATTTTTAAAAAACAGGCAGAAGTTCACATGATGAATCAAGTCAAAAAAGACAAGAATCTTTCACACAAGTCACATAGAGTACAAGGTCAAGAAAGGCTCACATGACAAAAGAAGCCATGATAGAAGAAATTAAAAGAGAGCTCACATAACGGATACAACCAAGAAGACCCAACAAGTTGGACCATATCGTAAATGAAGACAAAGAAGTGACATAATGAATGAAACCAAAGTGGTGGAGACACTACTGCTAACTTTGTTAGTTTCAATAAACCCGAATGTAAAAGCCTTCTTGTCTTATCACAAGAACCTCATCTTTTAATTTTATGTATTTCAATTTTGAAGTTAAAATCCACTCTTTGTTGTAAAAGTAAAGTCAAGAAGCAAAGTTTTATAAGTGAGTAAGAGTGTTCTCTTAAACTTTCTTGTAATCTCTGTAATTTTTTAGTATTCAATAAAAAAAATTTATTTTCATGTACATTTTATCTACTTTCTTTTAATTTTCTAGAGATGAAAGTAGTAATACAAGCAAAGTTAAATTTACCAAGAGTGAGAGATTATGCTTTATGTCTACTCGTTGAAAGACTTAAAAAGTATTTGCAGCAGACGAAACACAGTGAGCATGGAAAAGCAAAATCATAAAGTAACTTTCTTAAGTTGCAAATATCATCATTGTAATTGTGATTAAAAATAAATGAATAAAAAAATTACAACATATATAAAAATATTATTTTATTTCACGTCAACACCCCATCATCGTCGTGCCAAGACATTCAGGACACGTTTAGGGAAGACAAAGAATATGGGATGTAGCATCACCCTTTCAACTTGAGGCTAACCAGAGCTGGCCATTGATTTTGGGAGGTTTGCTGTCGCTGATGCATCAGCATGGTTTCTTCTTTCTTGTTTGTTTCTTCTTTGTTTGTTCCTGTGCTTTTGGTTGATATCTTAGCAACTTGACAGTGTACTAACACATGATTGGCTCTCTCTTTAGTGCCAACTTACTTGGAATAAAGAGAAAGCCAATCATATGTGTTAGTACCCTACCAAGTTGCTAAGATACCAACCAATTGATTAATCAGTTGGTTAGTTACGATACTTTTGCACCCCCTTTGTTTCTAACATTGATTACATCAATACAATTTATTTTGCCGATCAAAAGTATGTATATATATTATTTTGTTTTAATGTTTTGTGTAACATTATCCCAAAATACATAATTTCATTTTTTTTCAATTATAAATTATCATAATTTTACTAAAAAATGCATTACATTTGCTACTAAAATACATGAGGAGGATCCCCTCCAGTCTAGATTTTAGACTGGAGGGTGTTGTTTGAGCCTATGAAATTCACTACGGATTTCGTTTCGATCCAAACCGTTTCTTTTGTCGGACATTTCATGTATTTTATCTACCAAAAAAATTAAGTCGATTCGATAACTGTAACTTATTCAATTTTTTACTAAACAAATAGACAATGATTGTGTTTTTAAAAATAAACCATATATTTTTTAGTGACAAACGTAATAAATTAAACAAATTACAGTTATTGGATCAGTTTAATTTTATTTTTTTAGATGGAATATACAAAATACTTGACAAAATGAATTGTTGACTCAAACAGTACCCTCCAATCCAAAATCTAGACGGGAGGGAATCCTGCTCCAATACATAATATGTTTCACAAAAATAGGTATAATTATGTACAAATGATAAACACCTTTTTAAGGGGATTTCCATATATATATTACATGAGGTTACATAAAATGTGCTTTATTAAATGTCTCAAATTGTTTTAAATTATGTTGAATCCTTGGATCATTATATTTCCTTGCTCTTAAATAATTCATCCATTCAATTGATTTTTCTTTTTTTGGTAAAACTATATTTTTGAAGAAAAAAAAAAAGATCCCAAATTAATTACACATATAAATGATAACAAAACAAACATGACATATCCATTGATTTGACCGAAGACAACCAAGAAACTCTTACAACCAAGCCTAGAAAACAAAACAGAATCACAAGAAACTAAACTTCAAGAATGCCAACATCCACCCCCAAAAGCCCATCCCTTTAACAATTGATCTCCATACCCACCTTTATTCCCTCCCCCCTTAATCCAATCCAGACAGAGAAAGAGAGAGAGAAAGTTTCTAATAATCAACGGTTGGGAGTTGCTCATGTGCATTGTCACAAATGAAGATGTTGTCATAGACAAGGGCAGCAATGGCGGCCCCGATAAATGGGCCGGCCCAATAGACCCAGTGGTGTGTCCATGTCCAGCTCACGACAGCAGGCCCAAAAGATACTGCTGGATTCATAGAAGCACCATCGAAGGCACCACCAACCAGAATGTTAGCACCCACAATTAAACCAATTGCAATGGGGGCAATAATGCCCACATTCCCTTTCTTGGGATCAACTGCTGTGGCGTAAACTGTGTAGACCAGTCCGAATGTCATCACGATCTCAAACACGAGTGCGTTCCATACGGTTACATTGGTGGATAGAGAAAATGCAGATGTTTCCTGCATTGGATCATCGTGTATATATAGTCCAGTGTAATTATGCATAGAATTATGAAATTTACAATAAAAAAAGTAATTTATATATATATACATATATATATATGATGATCTACATGAAGCACGGGTGCTTCGAAAATGTTGCCGTAATTGTATCAGATATTGGTACATGTATCGATATGACTGCATACATATCAGGTATTTTTTATATATTTTTTTGGCACTTGGGTATTTCATGGGTACAGGATGAGTATATGGGGGGTTCTTCAAGTTATGAAACATTGGTGGAGATAATTTACTTGAAATTGTAAATCATTTACTTGATGTACTAGAAATGAAAGATATATTATTTAATGATTAATTTGATGAAAGTAAAAATTAAAGTTTCAATTTTTCAAATTTTACTTAACTTGCATTTGGAATGAAATTTTGTTTTGTAATTTCTTCTATTTTATAGCATTAAAATCGCTTATGTACTTTATTGAACTATGGTTTCACTTTTGATTTTGTAATTTATCTTTTAATTTTGGTATTAAATTTTGATTTGTAAGTTGAATCTCAAATTACAAATTAAAATATATATATATATATTATTGACGGACCACAATTATACCCATATTCTTTTTTTAAATCTTGTCATATCAATATATACATAACATTTCCATATCCGTACCTGTGCTTCGTCTATAGATGATGATGGGGCTTTTCCCATATTAAGCCTCTTTTGCATCTTATTTCTCAAATTAGGCCTAGTTTGGACGGATTTCTCAAACCAGGCTAAAGCGCTATTACAAATCGCGCTTTCACTGTTTGGAGCCCAAAATTTGATGAATAGTGAAAGCGCTATTGCAAAACACGCTTTTAATTAAGAAATCGCTGTTTCAAATCGTGCTTTTAACATAAAAAAAAAATTTCTGAAGAAAAAGTTATTTGAAATCGCACTTTCACTGTACATATAAATTTTTTTTTTTTTAGAAAACGTTATTTCAAATAGCGTTTCTACTGTTGAAACACAAACCAAAACCAACCCACACTCTGACATACACACACCATGACCCCCTGATATGTTGGCACCTACCGAAACTGCCACAAATAGAGCGAATGCATGAGCTAATGATGCTGCTACTAACCCTGATGGTGTTGCTGACCCGTTATCCGTAAGCTTGTCTGTCAAAACAAAACCAAATTCATCACCCCACCAATTACTCACTCTTCAATTCTAATTAATTCAAAAAATAATTTATTTATTTTATTGTGAACCCTTGATATACCATTTAAATATTTGGATAAACTATCAATAGGTCCTAATAATTTGATTTAATTCCTATCAAGTTCTATTAAAAATAAGTCTTAGTAAAATTGTCGTTAAAAATAATTGTTTTTGACAATTTTTTATATATATCGTTAAAAATTAACAATTAGTGAACTTTTTTTTGTCATGATTTTTACAAATTATCGTTAAAACTTACAATTAGTAACCTTTTTTTGTGACAAATTTTTTCCATAAGACTTGTTAGACAATAAATCTACTTATTAGACAATAAATTTTTTCCGACACGTAAGTACTCCTAAATATTTTAGGGTACATAATACTATTTGCCTTTTTGACTTTTTGCAGCCCAAGCACTTTTTAATTCATTTTAAATCAAAATATTTTTATTATTTTTTTCTTTACCCATTACCACAAAAATCATATTAAATTAAAGTTGTAGCCAAATAATAATATCTCAACCAACAATTTTGCAATTGTTGAGTTTCTTATCAAGAAAGTATCACCACTAATGTTGTAGGTACTACATTTTATTTATTAGAGAGGATGACATGTTAGTGAAATGGATAAAAAAAAAAAATTACATATACACAGAGGAGTGTAAGTAACTTTGAATTGCACCCCACCACACAAGGAGTTGCACCCTCCCATTTTTATAAAAAAAAAAAAAAATTTATCTTCTACCCTACACAGTTATTTATCCTATTTATTACCCCTCATGATATATTTATAGTGGTTAGAATATTAATAAAATATTATTAGATAAAATGGTATATTATTTATTACTTGTCAATAATAAAATATTATTAGATGACAAAAACTAAACTAGAATTATTTGGGACAATCTGTGTTAGAGATTTTTTTTCTTTTGGTCACACGATAGAATGTGTTAGAGAGAACTTACTGAAGGCCATGCCGGACCCTTCCCCTGCAAAAACAAAAATGACCATAGAGAAGAACTCCGCCAAGGCCGCCTTGAGCGCATCCGGTTGGCTCGCCTCTCCCGGAGTCCCCACTGCAATTCTGTAAAACGGCATTTTTCTAATACAACTCTCTCTCTCTCTCTCTCTCTCTCTGAGTGTGCCTTGCTTCTACTTCTTTCTAAGACAATAGATCCAACAACCTGCACAAGATTGCTTGCTTCTTTCTAGCTGTCTCAGCTCACTTGTTGCTTAGTCTAAAAACTCCTCTATATATATACATTACCTAAAATAACGGCCGAGGAACCGGTTCCCATTATCAACGAAAAGGGAAGCCACTTGTCGGTGCACTAGAGCTGGTCATGGTCTGGACAACTTGTGGCGGTGATTTAGTCTCTAGACCCTGTGAAATTGGAGATCCAATGGTTGAGTAGCCGACCAAGTAATTTGGTGGGGTTCAACCCACCTGACTGATTATTTGATGGTTTTAAAGCATTATTCGATAATATTTATTGTTTGACGCTTGTTATTTTAAAAACTCAACAAAAATAGCAATGTTAGAGTATGTTCGTCGCTTTATCAAATTTTTCATTAAATTTGAATAAAAATTTAATGAAAAATTTAATCTGATATAATGCACTCTAATAAATTTAAAATTTTTATCAAATCTTGTTACAGGTTGTCTGGAAGATATCCAAAAAGACATCCTAGCGACGTCCAACCATGAGTAAAAATTGACGTTCAGATAACAAAAATTCAGTTGTCCGGGAGGACGTCTAGGTGGATGTCTGGCCCAACAGTCACCTACAAAATTTGATTAAATGATAAAACTCCCTTAATTTGATGAAAATTCTAACTCTCTTCTAAGTGTTGATTTTTTATCTCACAACCAAACTAGATCTCCTAGCCGAGATTTTAGGAACTTAGTAGTAAAGCACACTGAAGATTAAAAGAGCCCAACACTTACACACAAGAAGACAATAAACACCACGGTGGCTCCCAGAGGGACTCTGACGATCAACTCAATCAACTTATCTCTCAAAGATATGAGAACAAGGAAACAATGTACAAGCAAAAAGTATATCTTAGGATGCCTTACTTTTATAGTTAGCAGTACACTCATAGGACTCTATCCGTTAGGATAACATCTATCTTGGACGACTCTAATCCATGCTAGAATGAACTCTATCTCATCTCTATTCAAACAAAGAGTCTCAAACCATCTAGGACTTTTGTCCTCTATCCGATTATCTCGGATTTCAATATAGTCGTACCATATCTCAACATCTTGGCTTATCCACGTGACACATCGGCAACCACATCGGCCATGTAGATAATCCTAGAAATATGTCCCCACATCTCCCTTCATTTGATATCAATTTGATGAATTGATTGGAAACATTTGATAAATGATTGGAGATGCCTTAATGACACAAAAAAATTTATCAAAATTTCTACCAAATACTCACGTGGTGTGTGACCCACACCCATAGAAGACATACTAGTAAAAAAATTAATAAAAAATTTAGATTTTCTAACATTTTTATCTCATTATTTTAACCAATCAATGTAAAATTGCCACACCACATTAATTTGGGAGGAGTACAAATAATTCTTCGGTTCCACCTAAATTCAAAGTAGTATTCTAGCAGTTGAATCTCGTGGCATATATAGCTGGTCGGCCTGTTCTAATCATTTACAAGCCGACCATCAAACTAAGGTTACAAAATTTTAAATGTTTTTTTATAACGATAATTGCAGAATGAATATAATAAATAAATAAAAACGGTGACAAAATTTTAAAAAGATATTTTGAATAAGTTGTACACTTATGTAATATTACTTTCGTCTCAAATTATTTGTTCATTTTTAGCATGAAAAAAGCTACATATAATATTATTTCTTACACCTTGTTTTCCATTTAATTGTAAATAAATTATATTCTTTTGTAAGAAAAAAAAATTATAAATTAAAATTTCTCAATTAGATCATAGATAAAGTCTTCAAAAATAGTTGAAAAAATAATAAATTAAAAAATGTAAATAAACGTTTTGGAATGTCTGTACATATAAATTATCTCACAAAACAATGGTGCTACAAGTATCAATTGGTATATCAATTAGTATACCAACGCATACTATAGCATTGCAATTTCAAAATTGTGGACCACATTTATTATACAAATTATAAAGACTCAAATCCAATAAAATTATGACACATTATTTGTTAGTACATTAATTGATATATTAATTGGTGCGTATAACTTTATTTCTCACCAAAATGTATAACTCAGATTACAAAATTACATAATAAAAGTGAATGCATATGATACGCAAGGCACACTTCAGAGTTTTCCTAAATAATTTGGGAGAGAGGAAAAACAATAAATTTGGGTCTATAACATTTTTGATCTTCTAATTATCAACTTTAATCTTATAAACAAATAAAAAACTGCATCAAAGTTTGAATATTATTCAATGTGTTTAACCTCATAAGTGATCTAATTAAAAAATTATAGAAACTCACATAATAAATCCATTTAATTTATTTTGTAAAATTTAAGAAAATATTTTTATTAATTTTTTCTTTTTATTTTTTAGATACACATAACTCAGATACACCTAAAAATAAAATATTTGTGAAAAAATATTTTAAATTTTTAATAAATACACAAGAATACAAAAATATAATATATTTTTATTATATTTTTTGTATTTGATGAATTTTTTAAATATTTTTTTCTATAAATATTAAACTTTTTAAGTGTATTTAGATTAGTTGCATCTAAATAATTCTTAAAATATTAAATTTTTTAGTAAAAACACACAACAACAACAACAAAAACACTTAAATTTCAAAAAAGTGGGCTCAATTTTTTGAAACCAAGCATGTGAAAGACATTAATTATGATAATCCCATCACGTAATATATTTATTTTTATTTAATTTTGAATGCTAATTATGTGTTTGGTGTGTAAATTGTGCATATATATCTAATTTGTGAATTATCTGTTATGATTTATGCTTAATCCGAAATTGAAAGTCTTAATGACTACAGAAATAGAAATCGACAAGTTTAATGTAAAGACAATGAAATGAAGACAATAAAGTGAAATTCAACTACTTAATATCTTTGCTTCTCATAGAAATCTTCGTTTGGTAACCTTCTCAAATTATAGTTCTACCTATTGATTTGAGTGTGTTGTTTGTTTTGAGCTTTCAAATCATAATTCTACACCCATTTCTCAATACTCAATTCAAAACATAATCATTATTTTTCAAAACTCATAATCAAACACATAATTCAAAACTCAATTCAAATCAATATTTTAATTTTTAAAATATTTTAAATATTAAATATTTTAAAAATATTTTAATTTGTTAAGATTTTAAATATTTTAATATTTAAATATGTTACGATTTTTTTAATTTTTTGAATATTTTTATATATTTTAATTTCAAAATATTACAATTTTAATCTTTTAAATTTTAAAATATTTTATAAAAATAAATTCAAACTCTATTTTATAAAAATATTTTTAAATATTTTAATTTTTTTGTTATGTATTTGGTTACGTTTGAGTGTAGAGTTGTAAAAGTAATATGGAGTTCAGTATTTGTTTGGTTATGAGTTTTAAAAATAATTTCTTAATTGAGTTTTATTTTATATGTTTGGTTACGATTGAGTGTAGAGTTGTTTTTAAAATTTAAAATATTAACATTTTAAAATTTTTTGAATATTTAAAATTTTACGATTTAAATTTTTTGAATATTTATTTTTAATTTTTTACTATTAAATTTTTTAAGATTATTTAAATTATTTAAAAGGTCGTATGGCCAATTTTTTGAATATTTATTTTGGGAAAAAATTATTTCCTTTGTAGTATTTTCAATTAAAAAATTGATTAATGTTATTTTCTGTTAATAATAAATTTTTTTAATTGAATTTTAAAAAGAGTTTGGTTATAAGTGTTTATCAGAATTTTCAATAGTGTGAAAGTAGTATGTTTTGTTATGAGTTATAACAATTTGAATTAAGTTTTGAAAACTCTTTCCAAAACTCATAAGCAAACAAATTTTCTTACTTCACATGTCAAATCAAACTTTCAAAACTCAATTTCACACTCAATTCAAAACTTAATTCAACACTCTATTCAAAAATCATAACCAAACAAATTTTCTACACTTAAATCATAATTACACAACTCACAAACTCAAAATACAACTCATACTCTCAAATCATACTTACAAAACTCTACTAAACGCAACCCAAGTTTCTCAAAGCATTTACAATATTCAAAGGAAAAGAGAAGAAAGAAAAAGATAGCAAGAGTGCAAAATATATATATATATATGAGAGGGGAGAGAGAGAGGGAGAGAGAGAGAGAGAGAGAGAGAGAGAGAGAGAAGAAAAAAAAACATAACAAAGTCACAATACATCAAATTAAACCCTTCATCAGGGAGTCCATCAAAATCACCCCAAGGCAACTGAGCAACAAGAGCAGAGTCTTTCTCCTTAAACCGAGCCAGGTTCTGACGGTGCTACTCTAAGGCACCCTCACAATCTCTGATGGTCTCTTCCAAGGAGGCAATCATAGCCACAGTATCTGCGTGCTCGAGAAACCAGCAACTGCTTGGAGCTGGCCCTCATCCATGATAAGTCCAAACCATTCCTTTCAAAGCCACTAAGATTTGCCTCAACATTCTCTACAAACTTGCCAGAAGTTGTCAAAAACTTCTTGGTGGCGAGGTTGCGAATGAAATTGGCAAAGGACTCCAACAGCGTTGTCTGCACCATCGAGCCTAAGACATTGAAAGCAGTAAAAGAGCTAGGGTGCAACGCCTAGATGCGAACAAGGATGGGAGTAGTTTCAGTGGAGACCCAATAGCTCAGAAAATAAACTTTCTCTAAAGGCTGCGAAGACTCTCATACAATCACTAGCTTGAATCACTGGGGAGGAGACTTGCAGAATAGCCAAAAGTCTGAGGGCGACGCACCTTCCCTGAAGATGACTGCCCAGCAGCATTAGAGTGAGTAGATGCTGGCAGGTGACCAGGTGAACTGATCTCGCGAGATAGGCCAAAACTACCCGTATCACCCTGCCAGTTCAACAAAAGATCGTCCATATGGTAGTCTCCAACATTTAAATCTGGTGTAGCAATGGTGTCCATCCCTACATAAAAGTCTTGTGATTCCGTAAGATTAGCTGGCACCTCAGGAAAGTGAGT